CGGAATAGGAATCCGGAATACGGAATAGGAATCCGGAATACGGATTCCGGATAACTAGTTACATTCTCCGGCTTTTTTCAAGTTATTCCTGACATTCCTGACATTGAAATTAATATTTCTGACATCGACATTTTGATTCCGTGAAGTATTAATTTTACCGGATTCCGTTTTTTAAAAGTCATTCTGGACATATCTGACTGTACTGTATTTTTCACAAAAATTTTCACCTGTTTTGGATAAGTTTGTTCCAAGTTATGAACGGTACTATTTCCGGCTACTCTATTATGCGAGACAAATTGCGAGACTTGCAAGACTCGCATGAAAAATACTAGAGAGGTACTCTTAGAAGAAGTTGGCAACCACGGAACTTTCAATGACTCGGACTACATGATAAGTAACTCCCGATCCAGTAAATGCGGACTACCAATTCAGTAGATGGGGTACAGATGCACCTGCGGAGTCCCCAAACGAATCCCGAAGGACCGGTTTCAGTAGCTTTTGATGTTTTCTGCTTTGGAGGTGGTCCTCCCAAAGGTACCGGTTGTATGGCTGGCAATTCGGTTGAACCCTGACAGGTGAAACAACGTATTGGTGACAATGATAACCAGAAACGAGAAAATGAAGATTAGATACTTTTGAGCAACACATGATCCACTAATCTTATTCTAATCACATAAATTTTAAAGTTAAAAAGATCTTTCTCGATCTATACTCAATTGAGTCTCTAAATATCTCGAAACCATCTCCAAAACAATTAGTCACCTGAAAATAACGGAATCGAGTGACGTTTTCTTCCATCTGCAAAAAAGCAGAAGCAAAATCACGTCGTCCACAACTTTTCTCTTGCAAAAGAACGCCTACAGCACAGATTCCTTCTTCTTTTCATAGAATTCTCTTATATTAAAAAGGAAAAACACATGTCCTACTAATACTCGTGAGGTTGATGATCGAATTAGAATTAAGAAAGAAAAAAGGGGACACTGCGTGCTTGAGCCGAAATTGTGTAGCAGAAAAAGAAGCAAAAGATAGGAAGGAAAGAATACAAATTGATGTGCTTTGTGCTTAAATTCAGTTGTGTCTACTGTTAATTGGAGTGACATGAAACTTGTAGTTCTAGAAGATTAAAGTTTTGTAGAAACTCCTAAAACCAATGACTCAAATATTTGTATTAAAAAAAATGAAATGGAAAATATAAAAGATTTCGATTTCATGTAGTTTTTTTTAAGCTGGAAGCTCTCCCCAATCCGATTTCGCATCATTGATAGTCTCATTGTCGTTGGCATCTCTAGCAGCCATATTCGGCTCATTAGCTGAAAATTTAATATTACAGCCAGCACATTAAAATTCAACAAAACCTTTTGGAGGTTTCTTTTTATCTGCTTCTGGGGGAGCTCCAGAAGACGACGACGGTGCTTTCGCTGCGACTTCCGCCTCTTTACGCTTTTGCTCCTGAAGTTTCTCAGTTTCAGTTGGAGTCGTCATCTTTCTTTTTTGCTTCTGGAAAATTTTGAAACTTTTAGAAATTCAGAAGTTACCTTGCTGCAACCCAAAATGTTACCTTGCTGCAACCGAAAAGAACAGGAATCAAAAAGGAAACAATGAGAGATATGAAAATGATTGGGCTTTCGGACATTGTCAACTTTTCGCGATGTATTCTGATTTCTGAAACCAAATTCAAAACAGGCTTTCCTAGATGATTTCTTAACTAACACTATGGAAAATTTGTTGATTCCAATGTTTCTGAATTAAACTGTGAGGACTAGAATTTCAATATTTCTAGTATTGCATAATCTAGAACATTACGTGTATCCAAAAGTTTTCGCCTTTTGATCTTTGTTATTTTGATGGTCTTCCAAGAACTCTAGTAGTACGTCATGAACTTTTGACTTCATTCTGAACTCTTCGTGCAATACAAATGAGCATGATGACTCCTTGGAATTCAAAAGTTGAATAAAACAACTAGCCTCGGAAATTCTTCACTTCTAAATTTTGGAAATATGGGAATTCGAAATCTATCAATTACCCAAATACTTAAATTGGATAATTCAGAAACTCAGATAATCTAACATTTCTTAAATCACAATTTTAGAACATAAAAAGAATCGTACATCCCCACAGACAGAATTTAGTAATTGTTAGTGATTAAATGATATTTTTTATTCATAATCAAGACACATTTGAGATCAAACAGTTTCAGATACTCCGGCACTTTGATCCTCCTTCAGTCGTTCGTTGAATGCTGTATTCAAAGACTTCTCTGGTTTCTTTTCCTTCTCTCGGACGTCTACTTTTTTGTTATCAGCCTCTGTCTTTTTGTCCTCCGTTTTATTCACTTCTTCTGGAGGTGCAGCCTTCACAGATGGTGTTTTTCCAATGATTGAAGCAGTTTTTGGAGCAGGAGTAGCAGAAGTGGTCACTCCTTTTGCTGGACTCAATGCACTACAGGACTCAGTATTCGATTCATATGGTATCGGGATTGGGGTTGGAGTAACATTCGTCTCAATTTGAGTTGCTTTCTTTTTCTTGCACACAATCATTAAATGAACAGTAATGACAATGGAAATGAACACCTAAAGTTTTTGAAAAATGTGTTTAAAAAAGGATGATTTTCAATATTACCTGACTGAGCGATACGAAAGCGTTCATCATTATATTCGCCTTTTAACTGCGTTTGGAATATCGAATAAATTTCAAAAGTCAATTAGTAATGAGAATTTCCAAATTAAAGGATCACGCTATTAACCTAGATATCAAATTTTGTTAGACTAGTTGGTTTACGACCCTCGAAGGGGGCTCACTCCTCTCGCTTCCAAATCCATGATTTCCCACTTTTAGAGTCTTCAAAATTTCGGTATATTCAAATTTCGAAATATTTGAATTCCCCAAAAATTTGAATTCTAGACTACTGAATTTTCAAATTTCAGATATCCGAAATATTTAAATCTTCGAATTTCTGAATCAAGTTTCTAAACTTTCAAATTTTGGGATATCTGAATCACTGAATTACTGAGTTTTCGAAATTACTGGTATCCGAAAGTTGCGAATTTCTGGATCTTTCAATTTTCAAATTTTCAAATTGTCAAAACTTTTACTATTAGTTTACAAATTTCTGAATTACTAAATTTTTAAGTTTTCCTAACTTCAAAGTCTCAGATGTTTTGAATTTCTTTGTTTCCCGAGAAACCCAAATATTGTCTAGAAAACTTCTGAATTTCAAGATGATAATTTTTTGATATTTTGAAATCCGTAAGATTTTAATTCCTGAGTTTCTGATTTTCCGAATTTCAGAAATTCCAAATTTTGAGATGTCTGAACTTCAGAATTAGTGAATTCTATTATCGCCGAGTTCGCGAAATTACTGTCTTCCGAAAGTTTTGAATTTCTGAATTTTCGTTTCTCAAAATTCAGAGTTTTTCAAACTTCTCAGGTGTTTCAAAAATTTCTCGAGTTTCCCAGATATTCCGAACTCCCCGTTCGATATTCTGAAATCCTGAATATTTGAAACCCCGAATTTCTGAAATTCCGAATTTGGAAATATCTGAAATTCAGGATTACTAAATTTTCGAAATTTATGGATTCCGAAAGTTTCGAATTTCTGTGTTTTCGATTTTTCAAAATTTGTACAATTTTTTACAGGGTTGCAATCTGACGGGCTGGCCGGCGGGCCGGCCCGAGTGAAAAAAAACCAGGGCCCGGCCCGGCCCGGCCGGCCGACAATTAATTAATATTTGAACGCGCGCCATTTTTATTCGCAACGATGCTCCGATATGACGAGGGAGTATTGGAAAAGAAAAAGATTCGAATACCCCGGACTGTACTCAGCAGCACTTTTCGTTTTTTCGATTGTTCCCAGTGAAGCCATGTGTGAGACTACGTTCAGCACTGCGTCGTTTTTGTTAGATAAAACAAGAACAAGATTACTGTACAAGCGTGTGGAGATGGTCGTTCTGGGTTCGCAAATAGCCACGAAATTTCCACACTGGCTCGACTGATTCTCTCACTAATTGTGGTGATTTTTCTAGTTAATTTTATGTTACTTTTCTATCTTTTTTGTTGGATTGGTTGATATGAGCTTTAATTTTCTCCCCCGGTTTCCATTTCTTTGTTTCCCTTGTTCATTTATACGGTTTTTACATTGTTATGCTACTTGTTAAGAAATAAATTCAAATAATTCTTCAATAATTTCTGTTTTTTCTTAAATTCGAACGGGCCGAACCGGCCGAACCGGCCGGGCCGGAGAAAAAATAATCTCGGCCCGGCCCGGCCCGTAAGCTTCCCAAATCTTCCGAAATACCCGAATTGTCCTAACTTTTGAATTTTTCGATATGAAATGTTGTTAAATGTTCTGACTGTGTTCTACCAAGTTTGAGCTCATTTATCATGTCTTTTGCACAATATCAAAAATGTGTCAACGGAAGAAGTGCCTCTGATTTCATGATAAAAATTTAACAGTTGACACATTTTCTCTCGCCGAAAAATCACTACAGTAGTAAACGAAACTTATTTCTGTGAATTTAGTTGGATTTTCTGGACAAATTTCAGATTTTTTAGTATGAAAATGAATGCGAAAGTCTAAAATACACTGCTGGACATAATTATAAAGCCACTTTTATTTTCGAGTTCTTTTCGAAAACTGGGAAAATTGATTGAACAGCATATGGTTGTCATAAATACTATTTTGAAATGTCAATTAATGAATATCATTTGATACCGCTATCGTTTCTTTACTTTGGAAATTTCGAAAAAATAAAAAAAAATGACACAAAAAAGTGGACATAATTATAAAGCCACTTGAAACAATCCAATATAACTTTAGATCTAGGTATTAAAATGTGAGGAAACTACAAAATATAGCAAATACAACTCAATATAGTCCTATTAACATGAGAAACTTGGTTGTATCTGTACTCATAATTTTGTCTCATCCGTTTTTGGCCAACTTACACTGAAAGTGAAGTTTTTCGTTAATAGCTGTTCTGAAAATCATGAGGACTTTAATTTTTTGAGTGTTTTAGTATTATTCTCAAATGCATCACTTATTCAACTATCGAAAACATCATGATTTTTTCACCAATCGAAACAAAAACCTGCATTTCAATTCATTTTGGTCGCTATCGTCCGCGTGATACTGTACCTTGCTCAGTAGACATTTGAATCAGCTGATTAGCATAAAAGGAAGATACGCTTGTGTTCATTTATGAACATACATAAAACAATGGAAAACTGTATCCGTGTTCATAGAATCACATTTTTTCGGACCACATAAATTTCAAATAAAATTTCAAACGGAGAAGATACTGTAGTTCAATGGATGAAACGTCAACCAAGAAAGAAACCAGAAGGCATGAAAGTTATCTGGAATTCTTGTAATTACTACAAAAAAGCAGTTGAATATGCTGAGGAATGGATGAAAAAAGTCCGATTTGAACTGAAAGAACTTTCTGTGGGAATGGTAAAAAGTTGATTTTCGATTTCAAGAGATTTTCTATTTTTCAGTCTAAATATCCTTTTGAATGTAGTCTGATTAACTCACTTACTCATTGCAAAGAAATAAGAATCGGGTCTGATAGTTTGGATGATTTCCGTTGGTGGCTTCAAAAAATGCCTGAAAAAGTGACTAGCATAGCGTTATTTCCATTGGAGTCAGAAAGAGAAAAGTTCATTTTCTCTCCAGGTATTCTAGCACTCCCTCAGGTAACTTTTTAATGGTTCTTTATTTTATATCCAATGTTTTTTTTTTCAGATCATGAACTCTCCAAAAATCTACGTAGGTGGCAAAGCAGGTTTCCCTGATGACCAATTGATTCGCTTGAAGGCAAAAGTGATGAACTTCGACTGTATAAACATCACAGATGAGGTAATCAACAGGTTTCTGAAGGTGGAAACTATAACCTCGTCCTGTACTTATTTTTATATTGCAGAATTGGATTAATGGAAAAGGTATCCATGACTTCAGACAACTACTTCTCTGGTCTACTCAACCGAGAGATCATTCTATCGTTACACGTGGTATACAGATTCGGCCATGGGATGAGGGATTCAGACAAGAAGCGTTAGTTTTTAAAAAAAAATTAACACTGATTACAAAAAATTGTGGTTCAGACGAGGATTCTGTGACGATTTCGATCGTTGTTGTGGCCGTGGATGGGCATGCCAAATCACCAGCAAAATCAATCCGTTCCAAAGGTTGACCATCTGTATTAACGAAGATCGTACTTCAATTTATGCAACTGGGAAGAGGATGGAATGGGGTGGAAAAGTATATACGGACTACAGTATTCCTTCAACCTATTTTTCTTGATTAAATATTTTCCTATTTTTCTATGAATGAATTAAAGATTTATTTGCATCTTTTCCATTCTGTAAAACTGGGCTACTCCGACCCAGAACAGATGGAATCGGGGGTGTTCGGATTGTCTTTTCGGGATTTTTTGAAATGTTAAAAATTCCTAGATCCTAAATTTCGGTACTCGAACCATCAACTTTGAGCCCAGATCTTTCGGTCCTTGTGAGAGATATCAAACAGTTGTCAACGGATAAAATGTTTATCATTATATCAACAAAATTTTGTCAGTTGACCACTTTTTGATATCTTCTATAGATACCGAGATATCTGTTCTCACAACTGACGGTTCGGATGGCACTTTATTAGAGTGCTTACGGTATTTCGATTTTGAAAATCTCGGAACTTCGAAAATTTGGATAACTCCGAATGTAAAAATTTCGGAGTTTCGGAATTCCCACTTTGCCATCACAAAAGCTCGAAAAAACGACAAACAGATTTCGAAAAACAAAACACAGCAATCGATTCCGCTCGGGACCCGCAATAAACTTTTCGTGTGCGCCTTTGACATATTGTAGTTCAAAAAAAATTAATAAAAGTTCCAAAGAAAGCCTCCGAATTAAATACGTTCCGAAAAACCATTTCGGAAATATTCCGAACGGAATGTAATTCCAAAAATGCTCGGAATTTTCGTGTTTTTCTCAACATCTTTACCAGAAAAGTGTATTCGTGCAAAACATTTGGTGACAAGAAAAAAAAGAATAAATAATGGGGATAACTATAAACCGGGAGTTAACACAAGGAAATTGATAGCTGAATGAGAACCACCGTAGGAGAAAAGAAAAAATAAACTAATTTGAAGCGAGTAGCATGCAAAAAAGATTGATAAGTATGAAGTCAGAAAGAATAATCGAAAAAGAATTGTGTTATTGAATATTTAAAGTCGGTTCGCCGACATTTTCTGCTCAATGACACAACTGGATGACGTGCTTGATAGCTTTGAGATCATAATGTTATCGTCGAAAATGTCATTGATTGTATCTACTTTGATAGTTTCTCCATCACCTGTTGTCAATATCAAGCCGGGTGCCTCCGTGAGCTTGAAATCCACTGCGGTTTTGCAATTATTATGAAGGATGGACCGGTTTTCAGGTGACGATAGACGAGCCACAATATCTTCAGCGTTTTTGAATGGGATTCCAAGTTCACGAGAAACGGTGGACATGTGACATCCATAATGAACGGGAAGACGTTTGTTCCAGAGGCGGTTACCTAAAAGAGAGTTTGTTCTTCTAAATATTAGTTTTGTTCAGGTACCCAGATGATGGATGGCTGGTTCATAAAGATCTGGATAGCGTTCTCGGATGGATGTAAGGAATAGTTGAGGAACAACAGACCCACGAGATATTGCTGATTTGTACGTCTGAAGTAGATTATTACTTATCATTTTTTCTTTTCTTGACTACCTTTTTCCAATCGACAGGTGCGTCCACCCGTTCACATTCAATCAACTGCTTTCCGCGTTCGTCAATTTTTTGAAGGATTCCCATATCTGACAAGGATTCTGCGCTTTCCGACCGTTCTGGGACTTCTATAACTAACACTGAGGGTTAATTACTTTGGTTCATGTCTTTCTTACCTTTTTTCGACTTCCAAAGTCTAGAATTATGTACTTGTCTTCTCTGATTCCAGATTTGAGCATTGTGTAGAATCCCAATTTTGAAATCACAAACCGGCTCGAAATCGATATGTTCGAACAGGGAATTGTGAGAGGTGAGGGCCTAAAAAAGGAATTCTTAAAAAATGGATATCTCCTGATCACATGAAAGACTGCTTCTGTTCACGTGCATTGCATGACTATGTCAAGACCCATGGACCGGACACGGAAGCTTTTATAGTGAGGGTTTTTAGTTCAGATAAACTTAAGCTGAAAATCTCACCTGTATAGTGATCCAGGAGTTGGGACAGACAACGTCAAAATAGCACTTGACTCGTGGTAATGGTGCCATATTCGACGATGGACTGTAAAGAAAACGGATGATAAATAGAAAAAATCGAGTGGGAAAAGGTAGAAAAAAATGATTGTTAAATCAAGTTTTGTTGGGAAGAAAGTGTAAAAGGAAATGATAAGAAATAGGTTGTTATCAGTAGAAAATTTGAACCTGAAATCAAGTGATTTCGGTGCATTCCGACGAGTAAATAGGATTCTCAGATCACTAATAAATTTGGAAGATAACACTCATGTGATGTTTTTAATGGAAAAAAACTGAGAAGGAAGCCAATCTTAACTTGTTAAACCGAAGGATCTCAACTCTGCAAGCATGTATTTTTTTTGTTGGCTCCCTTTCTTTCTCTACTTCTCCGAATCTACATTACTGCGGGGGCAAAGAGTATGGGAGAAAAAGAATGACGCAAAAAAATAAAGAGAGTATTTGCCTTCCTCACTTTTTTCGAAAGTAGAAAGGTCGAAGTGGGATTCCCCGATTGCAAATTAGGTCAAGGTGGAAGGTAATTGATATTTAGGAAGCAATATAAGATATCCGATAGCCATGACACAAAACATAAAGAACTAGAGATCTTTAATTTTCCATTGGCCTTTTTTAGGTCGGAATTCTGAGATGCAAAGCGATACACATGTGTTTGAACCTAATTACGAAACAGACGCTGTCGAGACCCCGCAAATTCCGGGGAAAGAAAAAACCGGGGAAAAAATCGGGGAAAA